CCACCAAGCCCACAACTCCAAGCACTATCTCTAGTTTTTATCATCAGTGCCTTTGCTATTTTGGTATTTCCACTATTGCTATCTCAGTGAAAAGGACAAGACAGAAAATATTAATTTTTAGTTAGCTCAGAAGAATAAATGCTTCACCACTCATCTCTTTTCCCTCCTTATGTTCTCAACAGGCTTCTGTGTAAAACTCGTCTGCATTCATCCTATCAGATACAACGGTAGAATTTCTAAGGGACAAGTCCTTGGAAGAATGTTGCCAATGCAAAGAGTATTTCCTGGGATCACATCTCACATTCACGTTGAAAACTGCGATCACTCAGATCCCACCAGGAATCTCGAAAGGGGGAAAGTGGAAAGTGTGTGAAATGGAAATGTCGTAAATTCCAAATAAATTCATCTCAGCATGCAAAAGTTGTTTTTTCTTATTGTGTGGGCAGCGATAAGGGAAGGGGAAAAAAAATGTATTTTATAAAATTTAAAAAGTTTAATACACACAACAACAGTTTACATTACAGGTTGCCCAAGGAAGTCGTGGCTGCTCCTCCCTGGAAGTGTTTAAGGCCAGGCTGGATGAGGCTTTGAGCAACCTGGTCTAGTGGAAGGTGTCCCTGCTGATGGCAGGGGGGTTGGAACTGGATGATCTTTAAGGTCCCTTCCAATCCAAACCATTCTGGGATTCTATGATTACGACTGATTCAAGGCTTTGGGCTTTACATGATATTGCAAGGTGCTCACAGTATGTTCCAGGTATCAGGTAGGCATTGTTTAAAGTACCTGTAGTTGTTGTGAACATTTTATCTTAGGCTAATTTACAAACTTTACTACACCTTGCCAAACAAGATTTAGAAGGCACCTGAACCGAGCAAAACTAGAGGGAAATTTATAGAAACACTCCACAAGGGATAAAAGATGCTGTTTGGAGTTGTCAGAACAGAACAACCAGTGCCTCTATTGGACAGCAAAAATGAAAAAAAGATTTGAGTTTTTGTTGGAATCTGTATTTACAAGAGAATCGGGAAATTAATGATTAATAATTATAATATTATAAAATAATGATTAATTAATTATAAGCTTTCTCAAGGAGTCTGAAAAGTCAGCAAGCATGAAAACTAGCTCACCCCCTCCTGTGGCAGAAAAGGTGCATTACTGTCAGCTTCTTGTGGTCACTTTAGTGATCATATAAATCCCCTTATCACACCAGGTGTAAATTCTGTGCTTCATTTTGAGGGGTTTAGTTACTCTAACAAACTCTATCATGCACTTTAGAGACGGGGTTTCAGAAAGCCTTTGTAGGGCAGTGGAAGTAGGAAAAGCCAATAAAATAGACAAAACTCACCTTAGCTAGGACACGGCGGAGCTCTGAGGTACAGGGCTAGTAGGAATACAAGTTGGATAGTGTTGTAAAGGTGTAGTAGGAAGGGAGCAGGCAGCTACTGACAGGTTCTTGCCAAGTGCAATACCTCCACTGCAGTCCTTCAGGAAATCCTACTAAAGAAGAAAAAGAACTAATTTTGCTTCAGTACAGGGCAGTGTTTTGACACTCCTCCCCAAAGCACAACGCACGTCCCACAGCACAAACACACGACACTGAACAAATCTAACACTCCAACGACAAAAGTCAACAAGTCAGGAGTTACCTTTTGATTAAAATTAGCTTCTCACACTACCAGTGAAGAACCATTATTTCACACCCAGACTAATTTTACACCTAAATGCCAACAAAATTGATTAAGTCAAGTATCAATTGGTCTTGCTAAGATCAGTTAGCAGAGCAAATGCACAAAAACCCCCCTATCATATCAAAATTCACAGCATTAATAAACGCAGCCCCATTTATTTAGAAGCTTGGAGCTGGAGCAAACTAACACTCAACGGCTTCACAGAAAAGCTGCTTCAGTAAGGACAGAGAAAGGGACAATATGTAAAGAAGTATTTTAAGTCTCCTCCTGAACTATATTTCTGTATATTGCCACTAGTGTTTGATTTCATTAATGCTGTTACGTTGGCTGGAGAGACATGTAGGACTCCACCAACCATCTACAAGATTTGTCCACATTTAGTGTTTCAGCATCTCAAAAATCCTCAAGCTTGAGGCAAACACATGATTAATTTGCTATAATCCAAGAGTTAAAACATTTCTACTGCCTCTCTCCAGGTCTGTCATGTATATGGTTTCTAACAGGACACAACCCTGCCTTGCAGGAGGACACGGTGCAACAGATGGATGAATCTTATATCAGTGCACGTATTAGATCACTTTATTATGTATATATTTAACTGAAACCATATATCTTAACCAAATACTGTTTAGAAATATTTCAGTCTTTTGTTTAAAAGACACTTATCTCCTTGATTACGGAAGCAAGTGCTTGGGTAGCAGGTGCCAGTAACCAGATGCTTCTTAACTGTGCAACAGATTATAATGGATTACTGATTCAGGCATGCATCATGTTACCTTAAATTCTTTAGCTTGCAACTGAGAACAACTCTGTCCAAACCAAAGGTGGTTTAACCATTTATTTTTGCAGCAAAATTTGTGTACAAAACTGACATTTTATCTGATGTGACAAATCAAATGTAGACTTCTCATTATAAATACGAAAATAGAACTACAGCATGAAAACAATTACAGAAAAATCTGTATACAATGCATTTCAGTTTACAGTGTGCAAAATGTCAACACAAAAATACATGTTCTAATTCACATCAGCTCACCATTCCTTCCCCCTTTAAAGAAAACAAAAGAAATAAAATACAACCTTCTTCCTGAAAAAAAAAAAAAAAACAACCCAAACAATTAATAGCAACAGGTATTAAACAGTCCTGAATCAAAAATTTCAGGGTCACCTCAAGCAATCCTTACTCTAGAAATCGTGGCTTACAGCACAGCTCTGTGAGACACAGGTAAGGTAATTACAGGCCATTTTGGCCTCTAACTGGCAATTTTTTCCTTTTTTAAAGTGCTCTAAACCCTTGATTCCAGGTAGAAAGTGATCTAAGATAACTGTATTCCATTTAATCCTTCCTTCTCACTAGCCACATTTATGTGATCCTCCTTCTCTCTTAATAATGAAATCACAGAACAGCATTCAGACATCCACCTCTGTAACCAAAGACCTGAACTCCCTCAAGCCCAGAAGCTCTTCCTTATCCTCTGGCAGTTTCCAAAGTCCTTTGTCATTCACCCAAGTAATCAATCTAGATCCAAACTCTTAAATTCATTAATTTTAACAAGGTCTTTTTCCCATCCGTTTAATGGGCAAGACTGAAAAACAACATTCAGTAAAATACAGTCTCTACAGTTTAGCTTATCTGACAAAAATATTTAAAGTGCAATTGAAAACTTGAATGGTTTTTTTGGTAAGCATAAGCTTATTTACCATAACATTTTAATATACTGGCACGAGTTTAAACTAGATTATATTTGAGTAACCCTGGCTAGTGTAAGTATTTTAAAGTAAAAGCTTTTATATTTATAACATGAATATTTTGAAAAATAGCTGCATAAAACGTCATGACAAATAATATGATTTTCCTGAACTCCAAGTTGTATCCAGCTTCCCATAAATTTAGATGTGCTAAAAGAAAAAAGTTTCTCTAATCCTCTTCTGACTACATTAGAAATACTAAACACAGACCTGAAAAAAATATATATTTAATGTGAATGGAACCTTTAAACTGAAACTCAGAGAAGCTTGAGTTCACTGAAATCTGAAGCACCTGTAAACCACAGACATTTTCAGAAGGGTTAAGTACACTTCATCTATTTTCTATTTCAATATACCATTAACATTCCAGAATGTTTTGCTGTTACGCTACTAAAGATTCTGAAAGTAGAAAAATTCAAATCTTGAAATAAGTTTTCACAACTCATTTTTTAAAAATTCTTTATTGCATAGAAAGCAACACTCTGATTCTATCAGTTTATCCACAAACGTAGAGAATTTACCACGTTGGCATCATATCAGGAAACCACATTCTTCCAAGGTGTTTGGAAACTTCCAAATGAAGTTGATCTAAGCTGTAATCATTATCTGGAATCAATACTTCCTCCATGATAGAAAGCTGGGTAAGCCTGCACCCACACATCTTTACAAATTCAATAAAACCCCTGCAAGTTACTTCACATTCACCAAGTCCCATCGCTGTTAAGTTCTTACAGCGCTCTGCGATCCGAATAAGTTCATCATCCAAAGGTTGAAGCCCATTAGCACACACAACCAACTCAATTAACCTCGGGCAATTCATGCCGATACGACCCAACATTGCTTTGCTTACTGCACGCCCAAAATAAAGGTGTGTCACAGGCGTTTCCTCTCTGAAGAAAGCATCAAATTCTTCTTCATATAAGAAGAAATACATCACAATGTTGACTTTGGGGGAGTGTTTAACAAGAGCATCCCAGCTTTGCTTTTTAATAGTGTGAAATTCAACTTGTCCGGGATTTTCACTCACAACATCTATGCGAAGGTGTTCAAGATCAACATGTTTTTCACTTGAAAGAGCCAAGAGTAGTTCATCGCTTAATATGTAGTAGTTCAAAGCCAGCTCCTTAAGTCCGTGACACTGGTCAGCAACACAAAGAATTCCTGAGGACCAAAAGAGAAAAAAAATTTACTCTGTAAATGAGAAGTGAACATGAGCACAGTTGTTTGCTGTAAAGCTCAAGCACACCCTCATTTTATTGGCTTAAGTATTCAAGTTTATATTCAAAAACCATGAAATATGGTAAAGTTCTAGATATCCACATCCTTTTACAGGGTTTTGTCCATAAACACTTAAAAGTAAAAGCAGCAATTCTAACTAGTCACATTCATCTTGGATCTGCATCTCTTTCTTCCTCTTTGCCCCTCACTGTGCAGAATTTCCTCAATTTTGAAAAGGCAACTGAAATCAGGCAAGATTCAGCTGAAGTTGCCACTGTTCCCTTCCCTAATACTCCTTCCTTCAGCATTCATCTAACCATTCTATTTAAATGACCACCAGCAGCCTAGTTTAAGAGCTAGGCTAAAACAAATCCTTCCCTGAATTAAGACATAAACAACATAATTCCTCTTAATCTGTTGGAATACAAAGCACACAGAATAAATCACCTTTTGTGGACTCTGAATAAAAACCATAGGAAAGAGGTCAGACCAGGATTCCCTTTCCCCAGCTCCAGGGTTTCAGGAGAAAGGTAAGTGAGAAGGGACCCAAAATCCCTCTGAACATCCTGGCAAGCCTGTATTTTCTAGAACCCTTGAAGGGAGGTGAGCCCTTCACCAACCAAAGCTTAAATGAGCAAGTTCATACTACCAGATCTAGACACACGAGGGCACTACAGAAACTGAAAGACTCTCAAGCCTTACACTAATATTTGCTGAAGTTTGCACACACTCCATGCTTTTTTTAATATAACTTTAAAGTATTAACACTTTTGTTCAGTAAATTAAGCTCCACAGCACCTTATGAAACAGTAACTGATCATTGTTTTCATCTCCTCTATCCCACCAAGCAGTAATTGATTCGTGGGTCAGGGATTTTGCATGTATGTCCCCACAGAATTCCAAGCAGTTAAGCTGACAAAGTTGCACATGTTAAGCAGCATGCATTTGGTTTTCCTTACACAGAACTGGGAAGGAACATCAAGTCCTTGGAACACGTGTTAAAGGCTTTGCACTAATTTTGGAGGCTTTTCCTCCTCAAAGCCCATCATCAGAAGTACTGAAGCAGCTGAAAAGAATGTTAAAAAAAATCCCCAGGATTCTAGAAGATGCAGTCAAGGGAGGAGCACCTCCACCTTCATTAAACCAACTCACTCAGCAACACAAAGATACTCTTCTTCCTCTTCCAACTGTCCAAAGCCAAGAGTAGGTGAATAAAAAGCCTCTGCTAAGAGAGTCAGAAGAGCACTAGAAGTTTTATGAATAACTTGTTTCAAACTAAGCTCTGACTATTAAAATACTTTGCTACTATATTTTTCATATATATTCACTACTCACCAGCAGGTGATACATGAGGACAGCTGCTCATTTTCAGCAGTTTTAGAGTATCACTATTGTTAGCCACAAGAACTTTCAAGGAAGGATCATCAAGTGGTGTGTCTTCTATCTTGATTGATGATAATGACTTGGAGTTTACAAAAACAACTGTCAATGCTGAAGCAAAGTGGGCCTGTTTGGAGAAATCAAAAGAGGGGGGAAAAAATATTAAAAGATAAGCAGAACTTCAGCATCTAAACCTCAGGTTTTGCATGCAGAGAAAGTACAAAAATAATCAATTCTTAGGCATCCCCTTTCTAGTGCAACAAAGAAAGGCTTATTTGAACATGGACATAGGAAACCTTTGCTTAAAAATAAGCTGCTGCATGTGACAAATTAACTTTACACTCATTAGTTAACTCATCCTCGATTTATCTTTCACTGTAACAAAATAGAGATCAGTGGACATAGCGATGAGTCTGAAGTATCTAAAATTTATCTGCAGAAAAAAAAGAAACAGCTTTTATTTTATTTTCTACAAAATAATGCTGCTGTGACCTATGGAGTCAAAGAAAAACATCTCCCAAATATTTTAACAATACAATGCAGCACGTGGTCATTGTGTCTTTTAATCTAGAAATAGGGAAACTCAAGCCTTCTAAATGAAATGGGTTTAAGCTGAAAGAGGGAAGGTTTAGATTAGATATTAGGAAGAAGTTTTTCACTGTGAGGGTGGTCAGACACTGGAACAGGTTGCCCAAGGAAGTTGTGGATGCCCCCTCCCTGGAAGTGTTTAAGGCCAGGCTGGATGAGGCTTTGAGCAACCTGGTCTAGTGGAAGGTGTCCCTGCTGCTGGCAGGGGGGTTGGAACTGGATGATCTTTAAGGTCCCTTCCAATCCAAACCATTCTATGATTCCCCATCTCTATGCCACAAAGTATCAACACTACTAAATTTAATCAATGGAATCAATGTTTAATTATTTTCCTAATACTAATGGATGCCACAATTTAAGGAAGATATGCCAATAAATACAGATTGTTTCATAAAAACTACCATCAACTGAATAATAACACAGTAAGAAAGCTAAAGTGGTTTAAGAGTGAATTTTGTCACTCCAATTACAGTTTGTAGAACACTACCTTAGAGACATTCATGAAGCTTGGTTTTGCTGTAGAAATCAAACCCAGTGTCTTGATAGAACAGTTCACCAACTGAGAAAGGATGTCACAGGCTGCCTCTGCTGACTCAGTACTGCTATCGACCTACAAAGGCAATTTAAAAATAATTAGGTCATTCTTTATTATCATGTAGAAAACAGCACCATGGATACCTAAGACTACAAGTTCCAAACTCACTCAGCTGTACTGCTCCAGATTGCATTGACCACAAGGACAAAGTGCAACATTAATTAGAAATTACAAGACGAGAAAGAGTTCAGGAAAGTTGTTATTACAAAGTTTTCCTGAGTATGACTGCTGGGCATGAACAGAGAGCTTAAATCTAAGCCTTCTCTTCAAATAATCTCATGCTTTCCTAAAAAACTGTAATTAGTGTGAGTGTTATGATAGACAGTGGTACACATGCACCTTTTTTAAAATGCCAATTCCAAACTCTTAGAGCAGAAAAAACATTTGATAAAACCTAGATATACTCCAGCAAACTAATCCATTTTACCTGCAGGGACAACACCTTTGCATCTTGAATAATGAACTGATTGTCAATTCATCTAGAAGTCTGATGACTAACTTTGGACAACACACTATTTTATCTCACCATCCTCCTCTGTAGTAACCAATGATAAAAGAGGAGCTGAAAAAGCATAAAAGTTGCATTAAGACATTACAATGCCAATTATCATCAGTTATATGAAGTGCAGAAGTTACAGGCATTTAATAACTGATTATCCATGAACTGCTGTGCAACCAAATCATGCTATCTCCAAATATAAAACTGCTACCAGTGCTGAGAAAAAGCAGCTTCTTATTTTCATCTTAGCTTTCCTATCAATCCTTTCTTCTGCTTTTCCTTCCAAGTTTAGCACTATGACCTCCTCTAACGAGGAATGTCTGCCAAATTGAACCAAGCACCTGTAATTCCAGCTATGATCTTCTCAGATAAAGAGTGAACTGTACCAAGTATTCAAATGAAAGAAGTCCAAATTTATACAATCCTGAGACTACAAACATAGCCCTCATGTGAATCAATTTTACTGTTACTTATGTCCTGATGTGTCAATGACCTGAATATATACAGGCACAGAATCTTTCTCCCTTATTTATACTTTTTCAAACCATGGTTCTAAAATTTCAAGACATTCTTCACCGTATAGCCTTGTTTTGCAAATAAATTATACACAAAAGACAAATTTATTTCCTCAAGTGCTTCCATGAGTAAAAAAATATTGATCTGCACAATAATCTACTGAGTACTCAGACTGCCACTAGCACTGGTTCATATAAACTATATATTCTGTATGATCTGAAAACATATCATTCCATCTTCAGCGCTGTAGTGCATGATTGTAGCTCTTTCTTTACTTTGTAGAGATCAGAGTGGAGAAAATGGAAGGAAACCATGTGCATGTGTGGAAATAACCTGTTGCAGTGTTTGCACTTTTAAACATAAGACCTCCCAGGTCCAACACGTGAGCTGGCTGACACAGAAAAGCTGCAGACATTACGCACAGTGACGTGACAAAAAAAGCCTCTGTTCATCCAAGACCTACCTTGAAGCTGACGTACTGCAGATGATCAGCGTGCCTCTTGATAATCTGCTGAATGAGATCAGGATGTGTAGACTTTAAGTAAGAAGTAGCTGGCTGGTTAAGTTCAAATTCAAATCTCCTCCAGAGATCTGGAATGTGAAAAGTTTCGTTCCACCTTCGACAAACAGAAGATGCCCTGGCTCGATCTACTAAAGGTAGAAACTGAAAAATACGCAGAATAACATGGTGTGGGAGCCTTCCCCAGTCTACTGAAGAGTGCAAGTCAGATTCACCAAACACTGAGCCATAGAAACAAGTTCTCTGTTTTTTGCTTTTCTGTGACGCTTGAGGATCTTCATTTCCAACCACAACCTTCTGCCTAATTCTCTTCATCGCGATGTATTCAAACTGCACAGTTTCCTGAAAGGTCTCACGTACAGCAGGTCTCTAGAAAAACAGAGAAGATTAGGGGAGGAAGGGAGAGAAGGGCAGTGAAAACAGAGTAATAGATAACAAGTTAGTAAAACTTAAATATAGGATGTTACTGGGAAGAAAAGGTAGGTCCATATGTCAATATCCAGTGCAAGGACCTTCTTTCTCAATATCTTTTAATTTTGTACAACTTGATTTCAATCTGGAGAACTTGAGCTTGTTATTTTACCGAGTGTCGTTTCATGTGTTAGTTCTTCACAGCACACAAAGCACTTTGTAGGATAAGAAAAAAAAATATATTTAACAGCAATTTAGTTTTGCAGTAGCAAATTGTGTATGTTTAAGTTTAAACTCAGCAGACAAACTTTGGAATCTGCTCACAATTTCTAGAAGAATTTTATCAAACGCAGAACCCAATTCATAAACTCCCTTTTTAAACGCTGATGAATTTGGAACAGACGTGTTCAGAAGAGTCAGATTCATAAGTTTCACCCACTTCCCCTTTTTGCTTTGTTGATTGATTTATTTATTTATTTTTAAATCATGCCAAGCAGAGGGAAAAAAAAAAAATGTTTGTATAACTAACAGCAAAAAAACTTCAGAGGCCACTTACCAAAACAGGGCAAAGTAACTGAGGTTCACATGCTGTTTTTAATCAGGAGAAAAGGACAGTGATCCTGGAACACAGCAAACTGCATGAATCTACTTCACTGAGGAACGTTTGCCACATGAGCCAGAGTTCAGACGACAGCACCACAAGGAAAAGCTCTGCTTTCATATGCTGAAGCAGAGAAATCTACTCAGGTCTATCAAAGACTGAATTCTGCTATTCAGTCAGTTCTCAGTAAGTGTTTTTACTGTTTCAAGTGCCACTTCATTGTACAGTGTGATGAGGCCCCTACTCAAATGTCCTACTAATTAGACATTCAGCCAGACCATTCCATGTCCCAACCCATCTGAAGCTAATATTTTAAAAGCAACTGTTCATTCTTCAAGAACCAACAGAACACATTAGCTATTTTTACTGAATTTCCACATTTCCACAGCAACACTTACAGCACACTTGTTCTGCTTCTCCCTACCCTCCATCATCATCTCTTTTTTAATTATTTTTATTTATTTTGGTGGAGGAGGGCAGAATCTAAAACAGCTGCCAAAATATCAACTATACTAGCCAAAACTTATCTGGCATTTTCCCCAACTTCTAAAACCTGACTTGTATGTCTGTATGCTATTCTCATGCAAATCTGCAACATCTCAGTTAAACTTAAGTTTCTGAATGAATAAATAAATAAATTTAAATAACTTTCTTATCTGAAACTTATCTGAGCTTCGTGAGTGCTGTTTTTTCTCCCACAAAGAAGTTTTGGCATCTGAGAATTACCAGAAAGGACATATTTCCCCTAAACCACAGGCCAGGCTATAGACTAGATACAGCATATCCCATCCAGACCTCTGAAGAGATGTGACAAGGTATGCATGCCATACATAGTATCTACGCTCTCACTGATGGAACGTGGCAATGAATTGTTCTTTTTGCTACATCCCTTTAAAACTGGTAAGTCTAAAATGTATATTTTTAGTATTCTATATTGCAGTACTTTAAAATCTAGCAAAATTATATTATATTACTCATTGTGTAATGCAAAGCCAGGAAAAGGTTCCATTGGTTATATATCACAAACTTTTTACCAAACATGAAGCCCTAATATTTACTGTGAAAAGGTGAACGCTGATTTCATTCTAAATACTTAAAATTATGAAGAATATATATATTTTAAAACCCATCTGAAGTTAACTAAATTATAGTTCCATGTGATATAATCCAGGTAGTATCAATGAGAGGTTTACATGCACACATACCTCCAAAGAATGTGGAAGTACCTGTCAAGTTACCAGCACCTTTCTGGTATCTGAACATCCATCCCACTGTTGAGTCATCCTGTATGTGTGCATGGATTCCTTAACCAGAAGGCAGGGACGGGTCCCAGAAGAGGAACTGACCTGTGAAGCCACCGACCAAAGAAAAACTGTTCTGCAACGTCTGGGAGACCCACAGGAGGGACTAAGCTCAGTTTTGGAATAAAAACTGAGATTAATAGCACACTCTGCACTGCAGGGCAGACGTGGAAGCAGAACAACATAAGGTAACAAGCAGATTAGTTTTGCCAAATGTTGTTATCTGAAAACTATCATTTAACTCATAGGAAGGTGTAAGTGTAGGCACAAATCTAATTTTTGCATTATCTACAATTTTAGTCACAACACTACTCTTATGAAACACAGATACACCTCTGGATTCCTGATTATTACTTACAGAAATTAAGAACTTGGTAAGAAGCATTAATTTATTTTTTTTGTCAGTTCACTGTATACCAAAACCACATGAATCAAAGCAGTTATACTTAAAGATGTGTTTTCTAATATTTTAAAAATTTAAGGACTCTTGGGTTTAAAAATGACTCACTTTTACTCCAAAAGTATGCTTACTGCATCACAATAATCTTGAGAGTAAACAAAATCTTTTGGCTAATTAAACTCTATCTGGAAAAAACAGACAGCAATGATGTATGAATATGAAAAACTACCCTCTAATCTTAGTATGAAAGAGTAGCTTGGTCAGCTATAAAAAAAGTATATCCAAAGCCTCCAAATTCAGTTACCCATTTTACACTATTTGATGGAAAACTATAGAGCAGCAACACACACCTTGCTAAATTATGACACTTTTAAAATGAAAAGGTAATTTTAAAAAGTGAACTATATTACAACTTTAAGATGTTTACAAAGTATTGTATTCAAGTAGTAATAATATCTTTATGAACCCTGTAATGCTGAACTTTATTTTTCTTTAAAAGATGGAAGATGTGAGGCTTTAGATTCTCTTGGGTCATATAATCATATTTTAAAAAACTACCTTATTAATATCAGCTCTGCTGTTGTAAAGTTTAATATAAGTGTAGTACATGTGTTAATTATGAATACAAGAAGAGAAGCTGCCCCTATGTCCTAAGCAAAATCAAACCCAGGTACTGAAATATGTGGAAGTAACACTGCTGCTCAGCTCTCACATCAGCAAATATAAGAGCAGCATAGTTACACTTGTCTATAATTAGAAGGTTGATATACATCAGTAACTCTGTGCATAGATGGCATCTGAAGAAGTCTGTAATTTATGGTGGCCTTCTATTGCATGTGAAGTTTACAAGTACTATGTGTTCTTCTGTGAAGTGTGCAGACTGTCCCTTTGCTAAATCTGCATGGCACATAAAACTAATTTGCAAAAGTGCTGTCAGCTCATAAAAGATAGCTTTATACTTATAAAGATAGCTTTATAACCACACATGTAAACAGAACACATAATATTGTAACTGAGAAAGCAAAACACTGAGATGCAATTTAAAGATTCAACACAGAAGTGTATAAAATTTAAGTTTATAAACTGCACAACGTATTTTGAAGCAGCTTTCTTACCTAAAGAATGCTTCCAAGTTACAATAGGTAATAAATGAATGAACTGAGGCAGCTGCAGCCATGGAGCACTCACAAGCATCTGTCTGCTTTCCCCTCCTGTCCAGAAAAAAATGACACAAAAGCTTTTATTAGTTACAGAAAAGAAAATAAAAATAAAAAATCCTTGTATTAGATCACATGCAAAAATTATAGGAAAATACACTGATACCAATTTATACAATTTCCTGCTTCACTGAAGGAGTTTGAGGACATCATCTTAACCCAAGCAGCTTAACCCACATTGTAAGTACTGCGTCACTGATAGAAACGTGAGGTCAGATGAAGTATAAAACAGATGGGAAACAAACACTGCAACTGCATCTACACTGAAGTGGTAAACAGTACAATTCAAACAGCAAGTTAGTCAATATTTGCATTAGCATTCCCATTAGTAGTGAATTTTGGTCAACAACAGTGTCTGTAACTATTAATGTAATCTAAGAGTCATGAAAAACAGAAGAAAAAAATAAATCAAAATGGTTTTTTCCTGCCTTTTTCCCTTCACTTGCAAGGCTGTTTATTGGCTGAGGGAACTATGGGACAAATGATCAAAACACAGACACCACACGGCCCAGCTTCTACCACCCAACGTGCAGCAGCCTCAGGTCACCGCTGGGTACAGCCCTGGGTACGGTGTCACACGGCAAGGAACGAGAGAGGAGCTGCAGCTCATCAACAACAAACCACCCAACCTGCAGCCTCCTCCCTCTTTACGAGTTGCCAAAAGCAGATGACAGTCTGTACAACCTGGCAGGTGAATCGCAAACCATCCCACATCAGGGAAGCTTCGATTAAAAGTCCCCTACCTCCCTCTGGACTATTTTCTTTTAACACTACATTACACAGAAGCTTGTTTCAGTGTCTTCCACAAGTAAACAATCAAAGCTTTACCCTCAAGAATATCACTAAGTTTGCTTTTATAATAAATCTTCCTTCATGATACGTGCCTATCATGGGGGAGACAAGGAAGGAAAAACCCTTTCATCTGTTCTAAACTCAGGACTTCAGTATTCTTCCCAATGCTTCCCAGTGTGGCTGCAAGCAAAAATCACCTGTTAACAGTAAAATAACCTCTGAAAATTAAGAAAAGGAGAGTAATATCCTTTTACAGCAAGAAATGTGTCCAACACTTCTATTAATGTAGTCAATAAATACTAGTTGCAAGGTTCAGCAGGGTTCTGAATTTCATAAGTATTTGTACTGATTACCTATAACAGCTGAATACTCCCTGGTAACCACAGACTACCTCCTGATGTAATGAGCTTCTCTTTCACAGACCTGTCCTAGAACCCCTCAGTGCAGAAAAAAAAGTTTATACTTTTACATCACAGATAAAAGTAGCAAAAAGTTAGACACCATATTTAAAAAAAAAAAAAAGTGGCTGAAAGTTCTTGCTAACAAAAAAAATGAATTAAGCAGGTATACAGTGTAATGATGCTTCCTTTAAGTGTCCAATGCCACAAGAAACAGGCAAAGCAGCTTAAACCATCTCAGCTCATCTGATCAGCAAGGTTTATAATAAAAAATAACTAGTTATCACAGATGCAATCGAATACAAGCTTGTTATGTAAGTAATAGTGAATTATTAGTCTAAGGTGGAGTTACCCAAATGATTATCAAAGATTAACAGCAGCAACACAGCTGTTGCAATGAAACACTTCAATAAACGATGAGGTTTAGGAAATCTATTCATAACCTCATTTGTGTGAAGTATCAAGTACCAGTGTGCTACCCTATACAGCTGTTTTCCTCTATAAACTCTTTGACCTCAGTGTGATCAAGTATTTTGCACAGCTGCATGTCACCCTACTCAAACTCAAATCCACAAAAATCAACAGGAATCCAGAAAAATTTAAGTTAAATAATCGTTTCTGTAGCTTATGCTCGTAAAAGATCTGTAAAATTCTGCTAAAATTATGACATTAAAGCCTCCCATGACATGGGGTCTTGGCAGGGGATCCTGAGAAGTGGTCAGCAGCAGCTCAGATAAGATAGCAGCTGTTCACTACTTGCCATGCTACAGTGTCAGATGGAAAAAAAAAGGTTTTATTACTATAACCCAACATATCACAGATTCGAGCCACAAAGAAATAACTGCTTCCTCCGATTTGTGGATTCCCTTTCAGTTCTCCACACTAGGACTCAGCGGGAATTAATAAAATAGAACACCGTAACATCGGGTTTCTAAAAGAGACAGTTAAAAAAAAAAACAAAAACAAAACAACCCCCACACACAAAAAAACCTACAAACCACCAACAAAACAAATCCAGAAATTCCTGAGAAATAAAAAAACCTTTCAAATAATGAAGTTTGGAAATCCACTGGGATAAAGCAGGCTACATGATAATTAAGCTTTAACTTTCTAACACTTGGAAATTATAGAACAGGTGAAATCTTTGTCACATTAACCACAGTGTCTTTAAGAAATCACAGCTCAGCGACAGTATCAAGGTCACTCACTCACAACATAAAGAAATCCAGAGTCTGGGGAAGGAGAGCAGCAGATCCTGTACACAAGGCAGGCAGCGTTGGGAAGCTGTTGCAACAGCTGATGCAGCCTCCAATTCAATTGCTTCGTATGTTTCAAAACAGATCAAAAATGCATTTTAAACTTGTCTCAGAAGATCTACTCCTTCGGTATGATCAGCTCCAAGATTAAGTTTTTTCTTCATTTAGGACACAGCGATCTTTTAATGGGTGGCATTTTTGCTTATGAACAGGATTATTTTTTATTTTCATAAATTTATTATTATTTTATTATTTATTATTTAGTTTTAATAAATTTATTTTTATTTTTTTTAATAAATCTTTATTTTTCTCAGAACTGAGGCGCTCTCTCAAAGGATTTATCACATTTTTAACATGTTTATGACAAAACCTCAGAGACCTAAAAAATAACACCATTCAGCTAATCATCTTAATGCTTGCATTAATTTTAACTTAAGAAATAAAAATGCATGACCACTTTTAGTGTTATCCAGGTGACAAAATTTAGCTAACCGTGTTCTACTGATGCACGATTTTTAGAAGAAAGCCAACCCCACCTGAAAACTCTTATTCTATGAAAAAACACCCAAGTCTCCCCTTATTTTATTAAATGACACATCTGAAGTTCCTGGGCTTTTTAAGATTTCTCTTGAGGCCTTACCCAAATATTATACAGCAGAAAAAAACAAAACAAAACACATTTTTTCTACAAGTTTTCTAGAAACGTTTCTACTCAACTTTAACAAGATATTTAAGCTTTTTACACTGGAAAAAACCCTTCTTCTCCTCCACCCGACGGCTCCCGGGCCAGCTCGGTCGGATGCCCACCAGTGCTCTCCCCTGCTTGGGGACAGCCAGGTGACTGACGAGAGGGTACAAACCTGACGATAAAGCACATCAAACCCTTCCTGCGTTGAGAGGTTTTAAGCTTCTGTTTCACCTGAAAATTCAGCACAAGGCGGCTGTGAGCGAACGCAGCCCGGGGCTGGGCGTTACCTTCCCCGCAGGTGGCCCTGAGGGGATGGATGGAGGGCGGCTGGGTCCCTGACCGCCACCCGGGGCGATGATGTCCCCTCAGGCCGAGGGTTACGAACACCACAGCCCTGCGGAGGTCTCACGGCTCAGGGCGAATTAATGTCTCCAGGCACAGTGTTGCGTCTGCCCGCCCGACCCCGCACCTCCCTCCCGTCTGCTCACCGGGGATCCCGCGGCCTCTCCCCCCGCACCGCCCCGCCCGGCCGCTCACCGTCGCAGCTCCTTC